TACTCATGCCAATAGGAAAAGATCCTGATGATGTTCCTAATACAAATTTAATACAATGGCGTTTATGACTTAGTCTGTTTGCAAATTCTAGAAGTCTCTGATCATTAAATTCTTCAATCATACTTGACATATTCTGAAGAACATTTAAACCACATCAAATCAAACAGAAAACACGAACAGACCCAATGAGGTCCTAATTGTGTTACACATTGTGGTAAATGCAGTAGTGAATGCATATTTAAAGTAAGGTATCTTTCCTCATACAAGGAAGGAAACATGTGCACAAAATATGACAATAGCTTAGAGCTCTTCTCTATCTCTGTAGAAGTTACACTATCTGTACACAATAAAAAAAAATACCTTCAACGAAACAAGCAAAATGCAACAAGTATTTCCCAGATAAAATATCTTGAAGAATAGGTAATGAATAAAAAAATATTTTCTTTAACTGTTCTTCCAATGGTAATTGTATGAAATAGTCTACTTTTGTTTTTAACTCCTAATTGTATTCCACAGTCTTTAGATGGACAATTAGTATTATATTCTTTCACACTTGCCATGCACTGCTTACAAAAACAATGTTTAACTATTAGAGAATGCCTATTTTCAAAATACCTTTTAAAAGCATTAATGCTCTTTAGACCTGGATGTGAATGTAAGCAGTGTAGGCTTACAAGACTAAGTGTATCTGCTAGGTGAGCTCGATCCACTGATAGAATGGCAAATAGCAAAAAGAAGAATTAATACCATACTATGATGTACACTCATAAAATGACCTGGGTAAATTGGGAAATCTTTTGGAAGAATTTCTTCAGGGTCACTGGCCAGAGTTTCTTCATCTTGTCCTATTAATGGATCTTCATCTTTGTCCTCAATAACATGACTCTCACTATCTTGAATGAAGTTCTCAAATGAAAAATCATCCCCTTCACTGTAACAACACTGCTCACTATTAATTCTTAAACAATTTCATAAAACTGTTTTCTTATGGGCAATTGTTGGTTGGAAGGAAAGTCCTCATGTTTCTCAGAATCTGTGTTTAAGTGAACAGTTGGTTGATTGTAGCAAGTAATGATACTTTTCACATATGATCTGGGCCGGACTTCCAAGATTGTCAAGTTTCTTTTTCTTTTCTGGTGTGGGGACTGCTAAAAAAATTGGAAAGTACTTGATTTCAAATTCAGACTGACACTTGTTCACAAGATAACAGGAAAGTATGTACCTGCTTGGATGTAAATCACACATCTATCAAATGTAATTATGCATACATGTATTAGTTTAAGAGGTTAACAATACAGCAATACATTGATTGCATGTATTGAGCATAAGGTCTCGTGAAACATTTTATCGTAATAAAGTACAAGTTACTTTTCCTTGTCTCATTTGATAATCTATGTGCAAAACTGAGAAATTTTAATGTTTTAATTTTTTTGATTGTTTATACGTCTTGATGATACAGACTAAAAATTTCGAATTCTAAAACCAAAGACATTTTGGACATTAAAAAATAAGTGTGGTAGGTATAATGATACTAAATAAAATAAGGAAAATCGATCCGTAAATCGTAAAAGTGAATACTGTGATGCATCTGTGCACCGGCGGATTGTCCCACTACTAATAAGCTAGTCCTTAACCTTGTTATGATCATAGAGCCTTGCCCTTTTTAATTTTATTGAGTATTTCTCAAAAAAGTGTCTGCTGGTGCACCATAGGTCGATCTTTATTGTTGTCAAGCGGATCATGCCCAATAATGAATCTTTTTATTTTCGAATTTTACATGTGTTTCATGCATGTTTTGTTTTTTTATTTCTGTGTAATGTATTGTTTTCAATTTTATTTAGCTATGTTGTCCAATTCTATTTAGCATGGACAACCAACTAAGTGACCCCATATCGGTAGATGATATAGAGGATAAGGATTGAAACACGGATGAAGAGCGTACATTCAAGGTTGGCGACACCTGCTCTGCTGTAAGGAGGGACTGAGTCATTTCAGAGGACAAAGAAAAGTGCTTGAAATATAAAGCCTCAGAAAAAAAGAATCCAGGAAAAGGAAGGCCGAAGACAAACGAAAAAAAGGTGAAAATTACAATTCTGCTCTGTTGCTCTGCATTTCACAAACATTTGATTGTTACAGAGTGTCAAGAAAATAAAGTTACAGATTTTGATTTTAAAAAATTGCAAGTACAGTAGTTTGAGTAATTTAATATTAAGGTGATGACAACTGTTTGTTTAAAAGCAGTCAGCAAAATAAATCTACATGTATGTGCATTCAACGTTCATTATCTGTTTGTGTTTTGAAATATATATTTATCATTTAGAGATGACAGAAAAGAAGAAAAAAGAAACTCAGAAGAAGGCAGAAACAGCAATGAAAAATGCATAAGAGCTCTTCAAATCATGATGGAGGAATGAAATTAATGACGTGAGTTCTAGTTCAACTAATACATCCCTGTCTACTGTCCGAGCCACATCTTCCCCCAGCTTGACTTCTCTGTCTACCCTTCCATCCACACCCACATTTCCTCCTAATACAATCCCTCTGTTAACCCATCCGTCCACAATTTCCCTTAACACAACACCTTTGTCTACTTACCAATCCACACTCGAATGTTCCCCCAGCATGACTCCTCTTTCAACTCATCCAACACCATCTGCATTTCCCCCTAACATGACACCACTGCCTATTTATCCATCCACACTGCCACCTACTAAAACACCCTTTACTTATCAACCACCATCGGCTCATCCCTTCAACATGACATGCATGCCTGTATACTCAACCCCACCTTCAATTCCTTCTGACAAACCACCTGTATCTATTGCTCCTCCGCGTCCTCCATTGCCCAGCTCCAACGCTGGCACTAATTGGGTAACATCATCTTCTTTTCAACACCAATCCTCATTTCCTTCTAATTCTGACAACATACCAATGTCTACCTACCAAAACCTCCCCTCATAGCACAGTTTCTTCTTTTCAATCTCAGTTTACTCCACCTTCTTATCACTCAAGTAGTGCCTCGAACCAATTACAAAACTTTTCTTTATTAACTTCGAATTCTCCCCACCCATTAGATAACATCGTACAATGTGGGAGTTGCGAGTTGAAGGAACAAAACTTCAAAAACCTTCAGTCGTTTGCAGACTCGAAAGAGATTTAGATTTCTGGAGGACTGAGGCCAGCAGATTAAAGGCTGAGCTAGGTTAATTTCTATTTTTTTTTTAGCAGGTTTAACAATTTTAAGTAAAAGAATTTTGTATTGAATTTTTGTTATTGGTTATAATGAAGTATCTGCAAATTTCAGTTTCTAAATTTACTGATAGAATGTAGTGTTATAAAGACTTTATTTTATTTTAAAGACTTACTGAGACAGGAAGAGGAGCAGGGGAAAGTTCAGACCACCCTATGCAGAAAAGGGGGGACAAAAATTAATAAGTGTCACTATGTAAGTAATCTTTATACCTTAAATAAATAAGAAAATGCATTTATGATAATATGTTCCAATATATGTATATAGTTTTATGCGATTTCAAAGACAAAATAAGGAATCGGCACAGTTTTTGGGTATATTTTAAAGAAAAATCTTAATCTTAGCTATTATCATTGCAGAAATTTCTGGACAACAATGCAACAGTCCCTGTTGGATACACACAGCTGGTGAAGGGACACCAGCTGTTCGTTCCAGTCACTTGGTTAAGTGATATACATGGCGCTTTTAAAGGAAAAACGAAATCTTGTGCCTTCAAGCTGATGATCAATGGCTTTTTTGAACCGCATGAGATGGTGGGAACAACAGGCTGTAAGGTCGCATATTCCGAATTAGGAAAAGCCCTTAAAGGTTCGTTTGTTTTTTGGAGCACACGGCGGGTGTGACCGGTCGGCAGGGGATGCTCACTCCTCCATGGCACCTGATCCCACCTCTGATGTTTCGGAGGTCCGTGTTTGCTCTGCTCTGATTTTGTATATTGTTTAATGGACTTTGAGATTGAATCCTGTTCGTTATCTCCATATCCTTCTTCTAGTGATGTTTAATAGGATTTTGTTATGAAGAAGTTTAAATTTATTTTACGAGATATACTTTTGTTATTGTTTACAACTACAATTAGAGGTAACATAGGTATATTGATTTTTTGGTTAGGTTGTACAGTATCACTGTGGTCGATGGTGATCTTGACTTTAAACTTATGCATTGTGGCCCTGATTGGATTTTTATGAAAGCATATTATATATTTATTCATGAGTTAATTATGAGTGTAATCTGCTATAAATCTTAATAATGAAAAGGTCAACTGTCTGTCATATTCTGTAAATTTATTTATGTTTATTTTTTTGTAATGCATTACATTCATGTGAATTTACATTTGTAAGTAATGTCATGTTTCTCACTAGTTTCCTCCAACCAGTACATTTATGTCTTTATGTAAAGCAACAAATTCCACCAGGGATCACAGTTCTGCATGGGACCAAGCCCCCTTCCTAGTCTTCTCTTTTTATGGACTCTTAATTGGGGTCCTTTTCCTTGGAGACTAGCTAGTTTGTCTGTTGCGCTTCTGTACAATACCAAACAAATACATGCTCAAAATGAAGTTTCTGGTAAACGTAATTCCTTTAATTCAAAGTATTTATCATCATAGTCTTGTTTTGTCTTTTGTTTGATGGAAAACACCATGTGCTTTTTCATTCCATTTATTAACAACTAAAACTAACTTTAACAACAAAAGAGTTCCAATCACATTTTAGATACGTCGTACATAATGTAAAATCTCCCCCCCCCCCCCCCCCCCCTTAAAAAAAAGTGTAATTCACTCAATTACTTAAAGAAAGAAAAAACTTGATTATATAAATCATTAAAGTCAATTAACATCACATAGCATTTATGAGACAGTTTTTTCACTATTTGGTCTAAATTTCAGAACACAAATTGGAAATGTCTTTGACTAGACTGATAAATGACTAGATATATACATGTAATCTATGCATGCAAAAGTGTCTACAGTTATTTAACATTCCTCAGTGAGTCTTTTCGGAGGGCCACATTGTCTCTTAGGACGCACTGTTTCACCATTTTGATCATCACGCGTTCGGATATTTTCGTCTCCAGTCGCTTCTACTTCATGATCACTCGGTTCTGGTTCAATGCGCAGATAACTGGTCGGATTTTCGCAAGTCCTTAGAATGTCTTTTCGATTTCTGCGATATTCTGCATTTCCGGTTGACACAATATATGATCTTGGATCGATTTGTTTTTGGATTGTTCCCCGTTCGGTCCATGCTGTATCGTCCAGATTCCTTAATCTGACCACGTCTCCTTCCTCTAATTTTGGTAATTGATGAGTTGATCTGTCGTAGTAATACTTTTGTCTGCCTTGACTAGCTTTTCTCTGTTTGATGACATCTTCTCTGTTAGATGTATATAGATGTTCTTCTAACATAGGTAAGTCGGTCCTAAGTTTTCGGTTGTACAGAATTTCAGCTGGTGATTTTCCACAGGATAACGGTGTTGCACGGTAAGCAAGGAGACTAAGGTAAAAATCCTCTTCTGATTTCTTGAGTAGATTCTTGATGATACCGACAGTTTTCTCTGCTAATCCATTAAACTGTGGGTGTCGAGGACTTGATGTTTTGTGCTGTAGTTTTCTCCAAATTTTCGAAATTCTTCCGAGGTGAACTGCGGTCCATTATTCTAGATGATGATCTTAGGAATGCCGTGTCCTGCAAATATGAACTTCATGGCTTTGATTACCGCTGTACTTGTCGTCTTCTTTAGTGGACAAACTTCAGGGTAATTCGAGTAGTACTCACACATGACAAGATAATTTTTGTTGTTGCACACGCACAAATCCACTCCAATTTTTGCCCACGGGTAATTTGCTGTTTCGTGTGAAAGCAATGGTTCTGCTGTTTGTTTTGCTCTGTGTTTCAGACACTCGGAGCATGATTTGACCTTTTCTTCAATACTCTGATTCATTCCTGGCCAATACATGATTTGTCGGGCTCTTTGTCTGCATTTTTCAATTCCCAGGTGTCCTGTGTGAATTTTCTGCAACATTTCCTTCCTAAGGGAGTTTGGAATGACTATTTTGGTACCTTTGAGTATAAGGCCATCTGCGTAGCTGAGTTCACTCCTGAAATTCCAGTATTCTTGTATCGAGGAGGGTAAGTCCCATTTCTGTTTAGGAAATCCGTCCCTGATGGTCTGCTCCAGTTTTTGAAGCTGCTCATCCTTAACCGTTTCTTGACGTATTTCTTTTAATTTTCTGTCTGACACTGAAAGGTTTGTAATTACTGAATCCACGTAAACTTGAACTTCTTCTTCTCCTGACAAATCTCCACTACACGCTGTCTGTAAATAGGCTCTTGACAATGCATCAGCTGTGTGCATGAACTTTCCTGGTGTATAAAATACCACTAGTGTATATTTCTGCAGTCGGAGCATCAGTCTTTGAATCCGAATAGGACAATCGCTCAAGGATTTCTTAAAGATGGTTTCCAAGGGCTTGTGATCAGTTTCGACTTGCACGGCTTGTCCGTATATGAATTGATGGAATCGTTCACAAGCGAAGGTAATTGCCAACATTTCTTTCTCTATTTGGGCATAGTTCTTTTCTGCTGTTGTCATAGCTCTCGAGGCATACGCAACAGGCATCCATTTGTCATCATGTTTTTGAAGAAGAACCGCCCCTAGGCCTGTCTTAGATGCATCTGAAGAGATTCTTGTCTCTGCATTTGGGTCGTAAAATTGTAGAACTGGTGCTGAAGTCAAAACTTTCTTCAGTTCTTCAAAGGATTCTTTTTCCTCTTGCGTCCACTGAAACACATTTTTCTCTTCCAGAAGGCGTCGGAGTGTGTGTGTTTTGGTAGAAAGGTCTGGGATATACTTCCCTTGGTAATTGACCATTCCCAGAAATCTTTGGACATCTTGCTTATTCGTCGGGGTTGGAAACTGTTCAATTGCCCATATTTTTTCAGGGTCTGGTTTGATCCCTTTGTCTGAGATTACATCTCCTAAAAATGTCAATTCCTGCACTCCGAATTCACATTTTGATTTGTTGAGCTTTAAATTTGCTCCTCTAACAGTCTCCAGAACTTGTTTTATTCTCTCATTGTGTTCTTCAAGGTTTGCTCCCCAGACTATGATGTCATCCATGAATGATGATGTCCCCTTGAGATGCTCCAGTATCATGTGTACTGCTTTATGATATACTTCCGGTGCGGAGGATATGCCAAATGGTAAGCGTAGGAATCTGTATCTCCCAAAAGGTGTATTGAAACATGTATACATGGAAGACTGTTTGTCAAGTTTCATTTGCCAAAATCCTGACGAGGCGTCGGGCTTGCTGAAATACTTCGCATCCTTGAATTTTGACATTACTTCTTCCCTTGATGGTAGCTTGAAGTGCTCTCGCTTAATGGCCTTGTTTAGGTCTCTCGGATCTAAGCATACTGTGAGTGCTCCATTTTTCTTTACGGGTAAAACGATCGAGCTAACCTCCACCTTACATATGACATTAGCTTTTTCCATTCTGTCGAGCTCCTGTTTCAGTTTGTCATGTAACGTAAAGGGTACTTTTCTGCACGGATGTATCACTGGTGGAACGTTTTTGTCAAGCTGAATTTTGTGCTCGCCCGGCAAACATCCCAGTCCCTGGAATACATCATCATAGTTTTACACAAGATTTTTGACAGCTGAGACTTCCTTTTGTTTTGGTTCCTCATTTTTGGTTACCATGTAAACTCTCTGGACAAGTCCTAGTCTGCTGCATGCACTAACTCCAATGATTGGTGTGCGTGACTCTGTTACTATGACAAAGTGCAGTTTGTAGACTTGTTGTTTTCTCATCACACACACATGTTCCTTTAATAGGGATGGAATTTCCACTGTAGGAAGTTAGCTTGATTTTTGATGTGTGAATCTTGGTTTGGATTTCAATTTGTTGAATAGTTCCTCTGTTATGATGTTAACCTGGCTTCCTGTATCTAGTTTGTACTTTATTTCTGTTCCATTTGTCTTCAGATGTGTGAACCATTCATCAGTTTCTTCTGCTTTGGTATTCTCCACCGTATACACAAAGAATTCACCTGCCTCACTTTCACTGTCATTGAATTCGTTTATCTCATGGACTTTCTTTTTACTAGTGAAACACATTTTAGCGTAGTGGTTTTGTTTACCACATTTCTTGCATACTTGTCCTACTGCCGGACAATCCTTTCCATGGTTTCCCCCACATCTTTTACATTGTTCATGATTTTTCTTTTGGTATCCTTTGTTTAAAAAAGCTTTGTTTATCTGTTTTTGTTTGAAGGGTTTTGGATTGTGTTTACTTTTAACAGCATGTACCTCCTTGTCTTCTGGTTTTAGTTCTTTCATTCGTTCCTTTGTAGCTTCTGTAGTCCTGCACATACGTATGGCCCCATCTAGTGTAAGATCTTGTACTCTGAGCAAACGTTCTCGCTGTGAATCATCTGGAACACCACATATGATGCGGTCTCTTATCAATGAATCAGTTAAATCACCAAGTTCACAGTTTTTTGCTTTGGTGCGAAGCTCAGTAACGTACTGGTCCATGGTTTCGTCCGGTTTTTGCATCAGTGTGAAAAACTTGTGCCGCTCATAGGTTGTGTTTTTCTTTGGCATACAATATGCTTCAAACTTCTCAATTATCTTGTCTAACTTTTTCTCATCTTCATTTTGTGCGAACTGAAAATTGTTATAGACTTCTAGTGCATCTTCACCGATCAAATGAAGAAACAAACATGCTTTCTGGGTGGGCTTTTCTTTGTCTGCCTCTAACCCAGTCGCTTGAATGTAAAGTTCAAACCTTTGTTTGAATTTAATCCAGTTATCGGCAACATTTCCTGTCAGTGACAGTCCTTTTGGTGGGTGCAGCTTATCCATGTTAATGTCTAGGATATTTTTGACTTTCTGACACCATGTTTTGTCTTTTGTTTGATGGAAAACACCATGTGCTTTTTCATTCCATTTATTAACAACTAAAACTAACTTTAACAACAAAAGAGTTCCAATCACATTTTAGATAAGTCGTACATAATGTAACAGTCTATATTTATAATTAATCAGCAAAAAGAGTCTGTTTTCCTCTTTCTCAATTACAGACTCATAAATTAGGATTTTTTTTTAATAAAGTGACCTGTGCACCTGTTATCCTGTGTTAGTAACAGGAATTAATTACTTTTAAAAACAAGCGTACAATTTTTTTCATAGTAATAACCTTTCAGAAAATCGAGGTGAGCAGGAAGATTTCATTTCATATTTTATATATTTCCAATCATTTTGATCCATTTAGTAAAATATATTCAAAACAAGTGTTTCAGGGCTTACCAGAGGTGTAGGTACTATGTAGTACTGTGTGTACCGAAAATAAAAGCAAAGACACAAAATTCATAACATAAATGCAGAAAGATTATATATTTGTATTGTGTATACAATAAACTGCGGTATGTCATTCAAGGCTTTTGTTTTTACAATTATATAATTAAGAAGATGGATAGTATTAAAGCTCAAAAGTCCATTAAACAAATATATATTGAAATACACTTTTGTTTTATTTGCTTTTTTCACAAGATTAGAAATGACATCACACTTTCAATTTATTTTATATTATATACCATTACATTGCAATTTTTTTTATTGAAAAAAAAAATCACTCACCTTTGCTTCCTTTAGCTTCTCATTGAATTCCAGCTTGGTAAGCTCCACACTCCGAAATGACTGCAGCAGATAAAATACTGTCGCCTCAGGGAACTGCATAAAGAACATCCTGTTGCCTTTATTGTTCCCTTGGTTTTTTAACTTCCATGCAGCTTAAACCTTGCTTACAGATTGTGCCCACAGAAAACATCGCTGACTGGGGCAAGTTACTCCTATTGCCTCCTTCAGCAGAGCTCTAAGATGACCCTGAGGATAGATTTAAAGTAATATCAACAGACAATATTAAGAAAAATTGTTAAAAAATATCATTTATGAATTTACCAATTAAGTTTATTGATTCCATCTTATTAAAGATGAAATAAGTTATTTGCTAGACCGTAGCTAAATATTACACATTTTATCACCAAGAAAAAACATCAAAATTCTAACATGTCACATACTTCCTGAACATTTAAAGCTGTGTCTGTCGTCTCCATTCTTTTGCCGCTGTGTTCAGCATTTCATTCTCTCTCAGTAACCCGTTCTCTGGGTTGAAATTTCTAAGAAGCTGAATAAAGATACAGAAATTGACCAATTTCAGCATTTATACAAAAAATCCTTCTTGTATATAATTAGATAAAGTGATCCGTTAGTGCCGCTCTGCTTCGCAGGCGAACCAAAAATAAGAGGCATCAATGATTAAATCTTTTGCATTAAAATTTGTAATGCATCTAATATTTGATTTTGTTCAGAGTATTCAAATAGTTATGTTAACAAAATGTCAGAGTACATCTTTAACTTGATAATTTAATTTCGGCAAGCCAATCTTTTTTTTTGGTCACCCTATATATCTGTCTGATCAAGGCTGTCCACACCTCACCAGTGAAGGAAATGTTTACTTTAGAAATAAAATTCCAATATGGCTTGTGAAGAAAACACTATGGAACAGGAACATGTCAAAATCAGAATCCATGGAAAACTATATTAAAACATTGAGAAGATTTGTATCGGACTTTGAAAGTCAGAAAGGGGAAAATGGCGGTTTTCGTTACTGGTAGCTTTTTTGTCTCTTATTCGCTGAAATTTTACAAACCTTTTCCAAGTCTAACATTTTTTTTTCGATGCTAGGGAACGTGATCACTCTTTTCCTACACGCAGCTTTTTTTTCCAGGTGTATTTTTTTTTAATGTCTGAAATGACCTCTACAAATCTTTATGATTTTTTGGGAAGAACTAGCTTCCTCTTTAAAAGATTTTTCATATGGTTATCCGATATTCCTCCAACTCTTATCCCTGCTTTCATATTGTGACATGTCACAGTATATAACATTAGGGTAATAGTCAGGGACTAGGGGTGATTAAATATTTCTAAACAACCCCAATAATTCTATCAAGGAGAAAAAAAAATCAATACTAGAATAATAATAATAATAATGCTTTATTTAAAGAAGGTAACCCGATTAGTACAAAGTACTATTCTTCCCCGGGGCCTTCTACATTTCAAACAATATACATAAAATGGTACAATCAAACATATATACAATGTACATGAAAATGATAAGTTCATTTTATAACTTCATAATCGAATGTAGTATACAAATTATTGAAAATATAGGACAATAAATAAGTCAATATACAAAGTTTAAAAGACATTGTTAATAACAATAAAAAGGACATCTATAATAATAAAAATTACAGACGTTGGCTAATTATGTAAAGCAAGAAAATTGTGATATTTTATATAATCAAAGAATACCCCTCAGGGCCTACTAAATATCGTGATATAAAATTTTAATAATCAGGATAAGGTGTTTCTCACAAAGCAGGAACATACAGTGTATATTTTGAAGAACCCCCGTCATCCAGGCGATTGTGTGTGACTTTCTATGATTTCTTTGCAGCTTATTTTCCTATCAATAATCGCTGGTTGTTTACACTTTTTGTATGGAACGTAGTGGAGTCAGCCAAGGATTGTCGATTGATAAATTGCAGCTTACACTGGGACTTCACATCCGGAAAGCAAAATTAATGTGTCATCTCTCGTGAGAGATGACAAATAGACGAGAATCAACAGAAGACTGAATAAAATTATATAGAAGCAATAAATGACTCACTCATTGGAATTTACAGAAAGTTAAAAATAATTGCCAAAAACCTCGATGGCACAGAAGATGATAATTATTCCAGTCGGGGATGAAAGTGATGATCCATTTAATGGATTTGACACCCCCATACAAGGTGACAATGAGGGATTTAAACAACTTCAGGAAAACATTCCAATGGAATTGGATGCTGTCAACAGATGGAGCATGAAACCGATGGGGAAGCCACCGATCTTCTCTGCTCCTGGGCATTTAATAAACTAACCAAGTACAAAGTTATGTTGAAGAGGAATCCAAATAAAGAATAATGGAGAGCTTCATCTCCCCAATGGGAAATTAAAACTCCTCATCTCAACTGTGGCATTCCGAATGGGGATCAACATCAAGGATGTTGACTAAGTCCTGCACTGGGGGGATCCCACCATCATCGCTTTCTTATTGGAAGGAGATTGGCCGCTGTGTTAGGGATGATCGAGATCGTTATGCTGTGTGCTATGTATACAAAAGGAGCATTACAAAATGTAACCATGAGGAATTAAAGTCAATGCTGGAAAAAGAAGCCCCAACCCATTGCTTTAGATTGATTGATTTTATATTGTTGAACGCCGAGTCGGCAATATTTCAGCCTTATTTCGGCCGACAAGTTTGTTTATAGACCGGTTTTCTGAAAATTCTTGGTTTCTCTGGCAGCCCCAAATGAGCCTACTCTTTTCTGAACTCCAGAGAAACGATCTTTTCCGTGCCAAGGGGGTTGTTATCCTTGAAATGGGGTACCATTTAATGTCCAATCCGACGGACTGAAAATTTAAAAATATGTAAACTGTTAAAATGATCTAAATAAGTAAAAGTGCTCTTGTCCATTGCATTAGGAAAGAAGTTTTGAAGACTTTTAAATTTAAAGGAATTATTGAAAGAACAGTACCATCAACCAGTGACTCGCATGAAACCTGTACAGAACCTTGCTCTTGTTTGAAATGCACATGCTGTAATGTATGCCTGAAGTCTTGTCCGTGTACAAAGAAATCCTTTATAAAAATTTCTGAGCACATGTTAATATGTTGTGCATTTTGATTTGATTTAGTACTCAACATTTATATTGATTACATAATTGTTTATTAAAATGGGATATTGTTACATAGTACTTTAGTGTAATGCTACTGCTGAACAACCTTTTCAACTACTCTGATGTTCAATTTTTACTTCCATCCTTTCACATAGTAGCTCAGTGCATACAGTAATTAAAAGTAGCATGACAGAAAGTGCATCTGTTCTTAATATCAGTGAGTTTGAGTACAGATCGTCCCTCTAAAATGTTACACAAATTAATTATTATAAATGGTTTAAGTACCTTGAATGAATTTCAAAGTAACAAGTTTGTTATTACTTTTTAGGTACAAATAGTTTCTTTGGAATAAAGAAATGACAGAGACAACTATTTCTCTATAAACACAAGATATTGTACTTACTAAAGAACTTGCGACTTCGAACCAAACATTTTAGTTGATTGAACAATTTTGTAAAAGACGTTTGAAGTTGCTTGTTTGTTAAATTCTGGGATGTACAAGAACAAAGATTTAAGGATAACAGTACTAGGTGCAGGGAAAAAGAACATTACGGGGGCAATGGAACATATTCAGAATATAACATCTCAAAAACACTTAGTCGAAGGAGTTGGATGTAATGACCTGTCGAACAAAAACCCAGAAGTCTCACTCAGATTTAAAAAAAATATCATGAAAAATCAAAAATATTGTGTCTTGCACATTTTACCCATTTTTGAAAGATACGGAGACAGTCCATACAACCAAAAAAGTTGAAGTGATCAATAGGAAACTAATGGAATAATGCGAGGAAAATTGTGTAAACTTCATCAAAATAACATCAGAAAATCCTCAAAATTACACAAGGGGTTTAGTGCATTTTATTAAAGTAGGAAGAAAAAATCTGGTCATCATGATAAAACACCTTAACCCTCATTTGGGTATGAAGCCATACAGCCAATACCAAAGGCCTAAATCACAAAATCATCTGTACCACAAAGTGAACATCATAATAATAGTCAAAGTCATTATCAGTGGAGAAAACAACATCACCACATTAACCTACGGCAAGCGAACCATGAATGGCGACAGCACCAATACACTAAAGAACGATTTCACCAAAATAATCACCAACTACAAAAACCAAAAGTCTCTATCGAGACTGAAGCTCTACTGGTTTCTACTTATAGCAACGGGAGAGAAAAGTACTTAAACAGTTGGGAATTAGAACTTTATAACAGCAATAAGTAGAATAATGATCCTTGATTAAGTCTCTGCAAGTTCTTAGTGTAGGCTACTTGCATGCCACATTATAATATAATCAGACAAAAACTGTATTTGGATTAGCATTTTAAGAGAATTCCACATAAATTTCTATTTTTAGTAACCACGACAACACCGTTCATCAAAATCAAAAACCGATATACAGGATTATGTATCTTAGTGTAGTCTACTTGTGTGCCAAGTTATATTGAAATCGGACCAAAACTGTAGGAGGAGTAGCATTTTGAAAAATTGTTTACAGACGGACGGACGCCGGACGCATTACTATTGCATAAGCTCTTCTCGTCTCTGACCAGTAGAGCTAAAAAAAAATCGCAGAGCCAAAATAAGCTGAAACTTCTGTTGAAGCATGTTTGGGTAGTGTAGAAACTATATTGTTTAACTCATGATCTACGGGGTAGGGTGGGTTCACAATAGGGAATACCAGTTTTACATAGAAATATATAGGAAAAATCCTAAATTATTATAAGAGAAAGGTTTTAACAATTGATGTCCATTTTTTTTAAAAATTATAATCACAGTTCGTTCTTTCGCTTTAAAAAGAGGTGCAATCGGCAAGCATTTCCTTCTTCATCAAATGCCATCACTCCATCCCTATTTATGGGAGCATTTGTTCTGACCAGCCTCTCCAGATAACTCTCACTCCCTTCCCGTATTCCTAACCTTATCCACCTTTCTCTGACATTCTCTCTCCTCGCCAGTAGTCATCCTTCTCAGTAGCAGTGCTTACCTTGATAAACGAACTTCCTGTTATGTACATCTACATCTATTTCCATCAGTAGGCCATCAAGCTGTTCTCTACGATGAATCGTAGCAACATGTCTCCTTGCTTGGGACTTCATTTTAAAACACCTTTTGCACGACTTACATTTGAACAGACGTCTTTTCTCTTTATGGATGTCTATCCAGTGATCAAATAGCTGGCCATATCTGGAAAAGACCCCCCCCCCCCAACGCATTTTGCTACCGGACAGGTCATTCCCGAAAACGGGACATTTTAATTTTATTTACAGAATACACTGAGCATGTTTTGATACTGTTTGCAAAGACAGTATTTTTTTTAAAGAAATAC